GTCCCTGTTCTCTGGCATGTACCCAGGACCAGGACCTGGGGAGGGTGGGCCAGGATGAGCACAACCACCTGGGGGCCCTAACCCCCGTGGAGATGAAGCCACCTGGGTTCTACCCACAACTCCCACCCTGGGAGGAGGGCCTGGGCCACCCCCAGGGCCATCTGCACTGGCCACAAGTGGGCATGGCTCCTTGATGGTGTTTGTGTGACCTTTGCTGTCACATCCTTTGTGCGCATTAGCTGCCACCAGGCCTGAGAGAAGGACCCTGGTGGTGTAGTGGCTACATTGTGGACTGCTACCCAAGAGGTTAGCAGTTCAATCCCACCAGCCCCTCCTGGTGAGAAAGACGAGGCTGTCTGCTCCCGTAAAGATTACTGCAGCCTCAGAAACCCAAAGGGGCAGTTCCACCTGGTCCTCCAGGCTGGCCCTGAGCCAGAATCGACTTGATGTTAGTGGGCTTGGGTTGGAGGCCCAGAGCAGGTCCCCAAGAGGGACAGAGGCTTTGCTTTCCATTACTGGCCTGAGGCCCAGGGGTGCCACAGAAGCAAGGCCTGGTGATCTGTCCCAAAGGAAACCCAATGGAGCAGCTGCACACTGGCACACATGTGCGTGCCAAGCTGTGCAATGTTGGATAAGTTGCCAAACCTCTCTGGGCCTCAGATACCTGTGAAATGGTGCTGACAGCAGTGCTGGGTGGCACTGCTAGGAGGACGGATGGACGGAGAGGTCTCTGCACAAGGCCTGCCCCACAGAGTAGGTGGTCAACAGCCTGGTCATTAGTGCAGTCTGCTGTCTGCTGTCTGATGCCCATCTGTGCTGCAGTGTGTGTCCTACTGGACAACCAAGCAGCCTTCAAGTCAGGAGTCTCTGGGTGGTCCTGTGTTCTTCCCTGCCTCACGGGAAGAATAGCTGCTTCTTGCCAACAGCCCTTCTGGGAGCGTGAGAGGCAGAGGGACAAAAGGAACAACAGGGGGGACGGGCACCCGCCCCTACCCGCCCCTACCCGCCTACCCCATGGCACCCTGCTTTGGCCCCTCACAGCCGCAGCGCTGCCCTACCTGGCTGCCCAGCTTGGCCACCAGGCTCCAGTGCAGTACGACGCTGTAAGCTTAGTTCTCGCCCAGCTGCGCCAAAGATGGGGATCAATATGGCCTGTCACTGCGGAGGGTGGCAGGAGGCCATGGCTGGAAGCAGGCTTTCTGTGCACAATCCACCAGTATGGCGTGGGTGGCGACTCGCCTTGTACGCATACAGTAACAAGGTGGTCACTGTGTGTGTGTGTGTGGTCTTCTATCACCATGCATATTTAATGCCTGCCTAGGTGCTTGCCTGCAGTGCCAGACTCTGGTAATGACTGCAGGGCCGATCCGTCCTCTTGGCCGGCCAAATGGGTACCCAAGGCCTGGGCTCGCTCACATCAGGGCCTCTCAGGGAAGGACCCTATGACTACAGGCCGCATGCCTTGTTCTAAAGGAAGGCCAGGTATGGTCAGCAGCTGGGGTAGGTCTCTACCCCCTAAGGTGGTACTTGGAGTGAGAAGCCTGAGAGGCTATTGGCTGAGTGAGTGGCTACCGTGGGCCTGGCCCAATGGAAAAGCCTGGCTGGTCTGATTCTCCCAGCTCCAGGTGTGTAGTGGGTGACACGTTGGACTAAACCGCAGGGTCACACGGTGTGGCCACGGTCGAGTAACTGCCTTGTTTCTTGGACCAGGGGGGTTTCCAGGAGGTGAGGGAGCCACCTGATCTCCCAGGTGTTGGGTGCTGCAGGTCTGAGATGAATGCAACCTAGTCCCAGCCCCTGAGCTCAGAGCCGAGTGTGGCAGACAGACCCAGGTCTGCCAGAGCCACCCCCCTGTGATGCCACATGGCAGGGTGGGGGTGCGAGGAGGCCTGCCCAGTGGGGACTGAGGGGAGATGGGCAGGGAACAGGAGCATGACTGACCCAGGAGGGGTTTCTTGGGGACAAGATTCCTGAGCAGTAGCTGGGCAGGTGAGTCACAGAGAGAGAAGAAGGCACCGGGTCTGAGCTAGAGAATGCAGTATGAGCCAGACACAGCGCTGGTGATAGGGTGATGGTGGAGGTGGGTGGGTGAGTGGGTAGTGGGAGTCATTCAGTAGGGCTCACAGCTTCTCAGGTGTGGCTCTGAACTGGGCTTACCCTGAGCTATCTCTGGAGGGCCCCTGGGTCTTGGCTTCCCCCTGCCCAGCTGTTCCCAGCTCTACTCCCCTAACCGCAGCAGAGACTCTAATCTTCCCCCGCAGAGCTGTGCCCACTGCTGCACCAGTGCCCAAGGTCAGTTTCTGGGTTTTGTGCTGCCCACCAACTGCTTGTTCAGCTCCTTGATCCCAGTGGAGGCAGCAGCGAGGCCCGTTAAATAATAATGTCGCTCACCAGGGCCTGTGTCAACACTGCATCCTCGTGTTCATTATCTAGATCGCCACCTTCAAAGTCTAAGCCAGTCGTCTGGAGTTCATTTTAACCGATCGCTGGAGGGGGAAGCCGGCTGCGGGATGATTGTTGCATCTTAATTTAAGAAAACTTACTGGGGACGGGCTGACAGGAGGCCCGGGCGGTGCCTGCCGGCTGCGCTTTGTTAAGCCATGGTGCTGGTGCACCCAGGCAGGCCCTCCGCCTGATACAGCACACGGGCCAGCACCCCAGTCACCACAGCTTGTTGGAGGGTGGCTGTAGGGACAGGGAGAGGTGGTGGGCGGAGACCAGGCCTAGCTATGAAGGTGCATGGGTCTCTTGGGACCTCGCAGCACCGCAGAAAGAAGGCAGCTGCACCCATTTTACAGATGGGAGAGTAGACCGGAAGTCAGGCCTCAGGCTTGCAGTCTGTGACCACTGCTCTTCAGCCAGGCTGGCCTCTCTGTCAGTCTCCATTCTGCAGGGAACACTGTTCCCACCAAGCCTGACGGGAATTTGTGGCATGCATGTGTGAGAGCCCTTTTCCCTACAGCAGTGGTTCTCAACCTGTGAGTCGCCACTCCTTTGGGGGTTGAACAACCCTTTCACTGGGGGTCGCCCGATTCATAACAGTAGCAAACTTAAAGTGATAAAGTAGCAATGAAAATAATGTTATGGTTGGGGGGGATGGTCACCACCACATGAGGAACTGTATGAAAGGGTCGTGACACTAGAAAGGTTAGGCACGCAGAACGGGCTGCTGGTGGGCGGGGCTGTAGTGGGAGCTGAGGGAGGGCTAGGGAAGGTTTGGGGCGGCTGGGACCAGGTCAGGAATTTCCAAGGGGAGATTGGCAGCCACACAGCTGGGCAGAAGGGGGTCCCCAGTGCCAGCCTGTCCTCGGGAAGCCTGTGTGAGGGATAGATGGATGTGGATGGGGCAGCTGGGCCACATGAGGGAAACAGGTCCCTGCCCTGCCCTTGCCACGCTGAGGTGTTTCCATAGCAACCCCCGCATCCCCAGAGTCAAGTGGAGCAGATGCTGGGCTTCCCTGGTGTAGCTGCAGGCCCACAGTGTGGGGCTCCCAGCCCTGCCTGTGGGTGCTGGCCCCGCGGGCCCCAGCCTGGCTCCTCCTAGGGTCGGCCTCTGTGAGGCTGGGCAGCACCCTAATCATAGGGTGCTCGGGAATCTGTATGAGCACCCCCCTCCCCACAGAGTCGCCCCCAGCACGGGCCACAGCTGCATGTGGACAGTTTGGCACGGTGGTCAGATGACCACGGGAACCAGGACCCCATCATCAGTTGGGTTTTGTCGCCAAGGGAGTGTTCGGTAAGGGGGGTACTGGGGGACAGGGTAGCCTAGCAAAGGGCTCTGTCGGGGTGGTTTCTGACACGCGTGGAGATGTGGGCGGGCAGAGCAGTTGACCACGGGCTTGATCCTGCGCCGCTCCGGAGGAGGCAGCTGATGCAAGGTGCTTACCCAGGCCCACCGTTAATACTCCCGCCCCCGCCGCGCTCCCACGCTGCCTCTGAGAGCGCACTAATGCTTGTTGTCACCGCGCGGCCGGAGGCGGAGGAGGAACACCTCTGGGTTCCTGGACTCCAGGTTTCCACGTGCCCGCCTTCTCCACCTGTAATTTCCACGTTTAGTGCCCAAACTTAGTTTGCATGTATTAGCTGTTGTAAATCTATCATAACAGTGTGACGCGGCATGAATAATGCATCGCTGGGCTGTATTAGTTTTCTGTCTCCTATCTTATTTATGACACGGAACGGGTGGGAATTTGCAAAAGCGGAATCCGGATGCAGGGCTTCCTGGGTAATGGTATGCAAATCAGCGCGGGGGCGGGGCAGAAAAGACGCACCAGGCTCTCCAGTCCGAAGAGGCGCTGCACCGGGACAGGTGGGCGCAGGGCCGGGGGGGCAGGGGGCGGGGTCACGGCCCGCCCCTCCACGGACGCGACCCTGCTCAGCAATTTGGTTTTTATTATTTTTCACGTGTGTGTCACTGTTTTCGGGGTGTGTGTGTGTGTGTGTGGTGTGTTTTATTAAACGTTGGCAGGTGAAACCCGAGAAATAGATTTTTCTAAAGACTGTGCAGATTTCCCAGAAGGCTCAGTCTGAAAGGAACATGTTCAAAAGGGACTGGAGCAGTTCCCAGCAGCAGGAAGGATTGAGGCCAGATGTTGAGAGGAACTTCCTTGGGGAAGCTGGTGCAGGA